CTATTTGCATGGAATCTCTTCCCAACCTTCCATTTTCAACCTGTGTGTGCCTTTGGACCTAAAATGATTGTGTTGCAGGCCCTGGCCAGGTAGCTCAGTTGGAACATCAATCCAACATGCCAAGGTTGAGGGTTTGACCTCCGGTCAGGGCATGTTCGGGAACTAACCAGTGAGTGTGTAAGTGGGTAGAACAACGAATCAGTGTTTCTCTCTCTCTCTCCCTTCCTCTCTCTCTAAAAAATCAATAAATAAAAATTTAAATATAAATAAAATGAATGTCTCATATACAACATGTAGTTGGATCCCGTGTTTTTAATCTATTCTGCCAATCTCTGACTTTTAATTGGAGTGCTTAATCCATGTACATTAAAATTATTCACCAATAAAGATGGACTTGCTTCTACCATTATTCTATTTGTTTTCTAGGTCTTTTCATATCTTTGTATTTTATGTCTATGTCACATATATATATATATTTTTAAGATTTCATTTATTTACTTTTAGAGAGAGGGAGGTAGGGAGAAAGAGGAGGAGAGAAACATTAGTCTGTGAGAGATACATCAATTGGTTGCCTCTCATACACAGCCAGCTGGGGACCTGGCCCACAGCCCAGGCTTGTGCCCTGACCAGGAAACGAACCTGCGACGGGCTGATGCTCAATCCACTGAGCCATACCAGTCAGGGCCATTTTTGTTTCTTATGTCCTCCCTTTGTGTTTCACTTTTTATTAGTGTACTGTATTGATTCCCTTCTTATTTCCTGTTCCGTATATTTTTTTAGTTATTTTCCTAGTGGCTGTCCTGGGAATTACAAATTAACAACTTAAACTTATAACAATCTAGTCTGAATTAATATCAACTTAGCTTCAAGAGTAAACAAAAACTCAATTCCTATACAGCTCTATTCTTCCCTTTTAAGTTGTTATTGTCACAATTTACAGTTTTATATGTTGTGTGACCATAACAGAGATTTATAATTATTATTATGAGGGTAGAGCCCCCAACCCAGCTGCCACAGGTGAGAATAAGTCTACCAAGACATGATCCTCTTGGGGAGGAAAGGTGTCTGATCTCTCAAAGGAGAAGGGCCAGGAGCCTTTCTCAATGGGCTTTTACTGAATTCAATTTGCACAGGAATACAGGTGAAGCTCATCAGTCATTGTCAGGCAGTAATGATCAAACAATAGATAATATACAAAGAACTATGAGGGCTTATTCTGAGTCAGGGTCAGTTAGCTAAAGGGCTATGAAACTTTGGGAAACAAACTCATTTCCTGCTTTGACCCTTATCAGAAAACTGAGGGCATTCTTAGCAAAGCAGGTTTCACAGGATTTTACGCATTCTTTCTTAGGCCTGATTGCCCCAGGGAACCCCCCTTTCAGGAACAGAGCCACACCCACCTCCGGCATTGTTTCAGGCTTAAGACAGGCAGGGGAAGTAAGGCAGCCAAGAGATTAGGAGACTTCTTGCAGACAGAATGAGGACTCAGGCTATGTCAAAGCCAAGGGGTGAGGGTCCATCACCTCCTTTTTCTGCAGCCCTCCAAGTCCTTCCCTGAGGGCTCTTTTGTAACCATGCCTGTCTTAGGTTGTCCCTCCCTTGAGGAATCTTACCGGTCATTGGCTAACCAGTCATCCACCTGGGGCCAAGCAGGGTGAACTAAAACAGACAGAGGCAGCGCCCCTGCCAGAAAGATAAGCTTTTTCTCCTTAGTGGCTTATGGTCTCAAGGTCTCTTTCTCAGCCTTAGCCATAGGGAGAGGCTAGGCGGGGTTATAGCTTCTGAAACCAGGCAGGGCAGTTCCCAACATTATTGTACATTTGTCTTTTTAATTATATAGGAAAAAATAAGTTCTAAACCAAAACTATAATAATACTGGCTTCTGTATGTACCTGTGTAGTTACCTGTACCAGTGTTCTTTATTCCTTCTGGTGGGTTTTAGTTACTGGTTAGTGTCCTTTCATTTCAGCCTGAAGGGCTCCCTTTCCCCTTTCTCATAGGGCAGGTCTGCTAGTGGTGAGCCCTTTCAGCATTTGCTTATCTGGAAATTTCTTAACCTCTCCTTCATTTTTTGAAGGATAGTTTTGCCTGATATAGAAATTTTGGTTAATTGTTTTATTCTGTCGGCACTCTAAGTATGTCATCCCACTGTCTGTCTCCTGGCCTCTAGGGTGTTTGAAAGTAATTTGGCTGTTAATCTTGTTGAAGATCACTCATACTTAACGTGTGGCTTCTCTCTTGCTGTGTACAATATTCTCCCTTTGTTTTTTGCCATTTTGATGAGTATGTATCTCAGTGTGGATCTCCTTGTGTTTACCCCACCTGGAGCTTGCTCAGAGTATATAGATTCTGGACTGTATAGATTCATATCTTTCATCAAATTTAGAAAGTTTTTGGCCTGGATCCTGCAGCTGTAATATATTAAACATAAATAATTTCAGCTGCATTAGCCCCTCCTCCTGTGCATGCTAAGGTGTCTCTGCATTGGCTTGGGCAAAGGCTGCCATCTGCATGCCAGATAGGAAAACCGAATCTCACGGAGCTGCTGTAACAGCCTGTCCAGCCATTGAGCACTTCTGTGATATTGCTCATACCCATGATGTCCTAGGTGCTGGGCTAGAGCAGAGGACTCATCAGGAGCAATAGCCTGCCCTGACTGGCGTGGCTCAGTGGGTCAAGTGTCGTCCCACAAACTGAAAGTATGTTTCATTCCTGGTCAGGGCACGTGCCTGGGTAGTGGGCCAGGTCCCCGCTGGGGGTGTGCGAGAGGCAGGTGATCAATGTTTCTCTCATACATCGTGGTTTCTCTCCCTCTCTTTCCCCCTCCTTTCCCCCCTCTCTAAAAATAAAGAAATAAAATCTTTTTTAAAATAAATTTTTAAAAACAATAAAAAAACAATGGCCCAGGCACTTTGGGTGCCCCAGGGCGCTCTACCCGCATAGCCCATGTCATCCCTTCCAACCAGATGGTGAGGAGAGACTCAGGATGTTCTCTCTTTGTCCCGTCAACTTCCGTGCAGAGCTGCCACCTCCCTACACCCTCCAGGAAGTACAGGTCACCATCATAAACAACTCCAGGTGTGACTACCTGTTCCAACAGCCTGATTTCTTCTATAGAATCGGAGATGACATGATCTGTGCTGGCTCTGAGGATGGCATCCATGACACCTGCAAAGTGAGTACCCCTGCCCCAGCCAGGGCCTTTCTGGACCCGGGCACCACTGGTCCCCTCCCAACCTTGGGCCTAAGAGCAACCCCCATGACCAGCCCACCCTTGGTGTTGATTAATGAGAAAATGATTGCAGCCCTTACTTACCTCTTCTGTATAAGCTTTTCATTTTACATTGATTGTATCTCCTTTGATACTCGTGTGAAATCTGGTAGGTAGAGACTGTTGCCCCACTTTGCAGATGCAGAAACTGAGGCTTGGTCACTTACAGGGGGGCAGAGTAGGATTTGTACCCAGTTTGCCCAGCTCCATAGCCCTAGGGCCTCTTCACTGGGCCCTCCTGCCCCTCGCCAGGCCCTGTTTACCCATTTCACTCCCCAGGGTGACTCAGGTGGACCCTTGACCTGTGAAAAGAATGGGCTGTGGATTCAGATTGGAATCGTGAGCTGGGGAGTGGGCTGTGGTAGGCCCAATCGGCCCGGTGTCTACACCAACGTCAGTAGGTACTTCGGCTGGATCCAGAGGCTCACGGCCGACAGCACACCCAAGCCAGACCCGTTCCCACTGCTGTTGCTCCTCCCGCTGCTCTGGGCTGCCCTGCTGGTGCAGCTAGCCTGCACACAGCTGAGCCTGTGAGGGTGCAGTAATTACCACAGCACTGGGCACATTCACCCAGGGCTGTGGACACCCCCGTGACAGGACTGCCTGCTGGATCAGTCTCCGGTGCCCTTCGGTCTCCTTTGCTAATAAAGACGTGCACATGTTCTAGTTGATTCTTCACAGAGAGTTTTGTGGACATAGGTAGCTTCCTGGACACCCTCATGGCCACCCATGCCCTGTGCATTCCCAGACCACTCCCAAACTCCTTAATCTTTCTCTATTTGTCAGCACTATACAGATTTTGGTTGCACACAACAGAACCCTTTCAGGATAATTCAATCAGATAATTTATGAAGGACATTAGTAGGACCAGGGGCCCTGGGGACTAAGAAGACTGGAGCGGGGGTGCTATGGAGGGAGCACCCCTGACACCCCAATGCTATGTCAGTGGTCCCATCACGCAGAAGCCAGGTGCTCCTGATTTAAACCACAGTCCACCAAAGGCTGACCTGGGACCAGGACTGGTATGCAGGTGGTTTACTTGGGAGGCGATACCAAGAAGCCCCAGTGGGGTGGGGACACTGGGGCAGAAGAGGAAGAACTTGATGATGGTTGCCAAACAATGAGGTTACTGTGTGGACCACTGAGGCACAATCCTGCTGGGTCCCTCTGAGAATCAATGGGGAACACACCTGCGTCGGACTCCCGGAGGACAAGGATGCCGGGACGGGCACTTCTCTCCAGACCCCCACAGGTTGAGGGCTGCCCTGGGGGCACGGGTGCTCCAGGCTGAAGCAGGCCCCAGTGCGGACGCCAGCGCCTGAGGAACTGCTGCAGCACCCTGAGGCGGCCTGGCAGACAGGGATACACGTCAAGTGTGTCTGGCTCCTCACTGGTGTCCCAGAACCCAGCCTCAGCATGACAAGAGATCAGGCCAGCAGGGCAGACTCGGGCACCTTGGGACTGCTCAGGCAGATCTGTGCTTTCACAAGATCCCCAAGTAGTGTGAGCTCAAGGTGTGTGAGGAGCTGTGGTTGGTCTAGATCCCTCCCCTTGGTTCCCACCCCACACCTCCCTGCTGTGGAGAGGAAGGTGCAGGAATCTTCAGAAAGGGGAGCCTGCTGGTTCGTGCCCCATACCTGCCAGCAGTGCAGGTGTGTAGGGCATCAGCTTGGGCTTCGTGCCCTAGCGTAGCCCTGGGAGGCTGGAACTTCCCTTCTACCTTGTCACAATGAGGAAACTGATGCTCAGAGAGGTGACAGGACTGCTGGTGTCACCCAGCTCACAAGGGCCGGGGTCAGAGAGCACTTGGCCAGGCCTGGAGTCTGGGCCCCATGTGAGACTGGCCAAGCCGGAACTTCTACACAGAACAGTAGTCCCCAGGTGCCTTGCCCAGGTCAGGTTTGGAGGTGAGCTTCCTGGCCCGACTGCAGGCTCCACCCCTCATGCCCCACCCCCACTCACTCCCTTTGCTGGGCTGGGCCCAGGCTCCTGCTCCCCCTTCTTAGCACCCTGGCCCAAACCAGGCTTCTTTTGAGAATTGCAGGGTGTTGCTTTCTTGCTACCTTGAAAGTGCTACTCAGAGAATCTTCATCTGAGGCTGGACAGGTGAAGTTGCAGCCCTTCCCTGGTCTCCTTAATCATGCCCTGGCCAGGGCCCTGCCCCCTCCTGGCCTTTTATGTCCCCACTACTCCCTCAGCCCAGTCAGCGGGAAAGGCATCAGGCTTTGAGCGAGAGAGCAGGGTCCAGGGGCTGCCAGGGCAGGTGGGGGAAGCTGTTGGGCAATGGAAATAGAGGGTGGGGAAGGGGCCAGGCTCCAGGGCCTAGGGGCCTAGGGTGCCCAAGTCTCGAAGGGGATGAGGAGCAGAGGTGGTCCCTGGGGCCTAGGAAACAAAGCCTGGGCCATGGGGATATATGTCTGGGACCAACTAGGGGCTGAGGGAAGACAGAAGGGCCTCTAGGGGTTACTGCTCAGGGCTAGGACTCTCCCTTCCTCTCGCTGCAGGCTCCCGCCCTTACCCAGCCCAGTCCTGAAGGCAGAACGAATGGGGCTTCCTGTCTCCAGGTCCTGCTCCTGCAGCGGCTGCGGCGGCTGCTGGGTGAGTGTGGGCCAGGGGCTGTGGGTGCTGACCACAGGGACCTTGGCTACCAGATGTCCCATCTCACCCCTCTCTGGCCTGGTTCCCCTAGGGCACTCCAGGGATCCTAGTCTTGGCTTCAGGGGTTCAAATTCTCTGCCACTGACCTTGAGCTCTCCAAACTCGGATGTGCTTCTCTGCACAATGGGTGTAAGTCTCCACCTCACAGTGCTCAGGGGAGAGTTAAATTGGGTAACGGGTTGTACAAAACCCTGGCACCAGGTTAATGCAACATATATGTTTCACCCTCCTTCCTAATCTGTAATCTCTCTTGTCCTCCACCTGTTACCTGCCACCAAATCCATACTCCAGTGCCTGCCCTGCTTCCTCCTCCAGGAGTTGCTGGGACACTGGAGTCTGCAGGTTAGGAAGACTCAGGGTTTCCCCACCCCCCAAATCAACCCCTCCCTGATCTTGGCCCTTTGTCTCCCCGCCCCTCCTCTCCCAGACCCCCAGTCCTCTGCCGCCCCTGCCCTCCCCTTTGTCCTCTCGGCAGCTTGCAGGCAGCCTCGTGTGTGCAGTCTGATCATGGGGGACCAGGATGCCCGGGCCGGAGAGTGGCCGCGCATCCAGCACCACGAGGTGCATGCGTGTGGGGGCTCGCTCGTTGCCCCACCCCCCACCGTGGGTGCTGACAGCGGCTCACGGCTTCCCGAAGTTAACAGCCAGCCACTAGGCTTGAGCAAGGGGAGAGTATTGGGATGAGGGAAAGAGGAGACCTGGAAGCAAGGCACAGGGAAAATGGGGCGCCACCTGGCGTTGACGCTGGGGCCAGTGCCGGCTCCGGCGGGATTAGAGCCCTACTCAGGGTGGAGATGGGGCTTCCGTAAGTAGCCCCGCACCTGCCACGCAGGCAGGTGCCACTGCCTTAGCAGGTGCCACTGCCTCGGTACCGGGCGCGCCTCGGGATGCTTCACCTGGGTCCCTCCTCACCCCACGATCTCTCAGCGCCTGTGCAGAGAATGCTGCCCTATCTCCCTGGCCTCCCCTCTTCTTCCCCGACTACTCTGAGGGCGTTGCCGCGGCGACCTGGCGCTGCTGCAGCTCCCTGAGTCCCAGCTGGAGCCCGGGGCCTGCCTGCCACCGTGTACACCATGCTGGGGCAGCCTCTTCCCAGGAGGTGTGGCAGAGAGTGGGGCAGGGGGCATTGGGGAAGGGCCGGGAGTTCCCCTTCCACCTCCCTGTGACAGAGAATCCCATCCACCACTGCCTCAATCTGGGATCCAATGCTACCTCCAGGCACCCAAACTTCCTCCCCATCCTGGCAAGTTAAGATTCTCAGGTGAGGTTTCTTCCACCCACCCTTGCTTACTGCCACACACTCTCTTAATTTTTATAAGTCTCCCTTCTTCCCCTAGTGCCCTTCTTCCCCTTCTTCCCAGAGTGGTGCCTCTCGTAGTGGTGACCTCTTCAGGGAGTGAGTGCCATTGTTGGATGTGCACACTTGTGCACACTCTACCACCTAGGCACCAACGTGCCCCATGCTGAGCATATAGTGTTACCAGGAAACCTGTGCGCTGGCTCCATCCAGGGCCACAAGGATGCCTGTCAGGTGTGTGACGGCTGCCTTGAACCTCTGGAGTCCATGCCCTGTGCCCAGCACCCTCCATCCCTTGAACCCAGGATCCAGAAGGTACCACCTCCAGGTTCAGCATTCCGGCCCCCAACCCAGAAGCACGTCCTGGGGGACTAGAGCCATAGGACTGCCTTCACAGTCTCCGGAAGGCTGGGGCCTGAGCTTTCCTTTCTCAGGCAGGACGATCCTGGGGGACCCCTGACCTGCTTGAGTCTGGGCACTGGGTCCTGGTGGGCATGGTGAGCTGGGGCAGGGGCTGTGGCCTGCCCTAGTGTACAGGTGTGTATACCAATGTAGCTATTTACAGCCACTAGATTCAGGCTTGTCTCGGCCTCTGTCGTGGTGACAATGACCTGCAGTCAGATGCTGGGGGCCCTCAGCTACTTGGTCTCTCTGGGAACCTGCACAACCCCCACCCTGGCCACTTCTGATTTGAGGCTCAGAGGCCTGATAAAGCTAAGGGGTCACCTGTCCATGCGTCCATCACCTGCCTTCTCCTGGGGGCCTGACCAAACCCAAGCTGCTAGCCCTGCTCCAGGAGCCTCCCATGGGTGGGGGTCACTCTCCTGCCATCCCCTTCCTGCTCATTTATTGTCCTCAGCTCCCACCAGGACTGGGACTGGACACCCAAGAACGGGCAAGTGACCTTCCCAGTCTGGCCTGTGTGCCCCTCATTTTCTGGAGGAAGTCAGGGAGATTTAAAGTGTAGAGGGATTCAGCTCCAAGGAGATGGTTCTCCATCTCTAGCTTTGAAGATGGTGGGGGGTGGGAGAGGTTGGGGGTGCCAGTGGCAAGGAACGGCTAACGGCCTCCAGGAGCTGAGGGCAACCTTGGCTGAAAGCCTCAGGGACAAAGGAAACATCTGCATTGTGACCACATGGAACTGAATCCAGGCAGCACCTGACCAAGCACGGAGGTGAATCCTTCCCCCACCCTCCAATGGTAGCTCACCGGGCCAAGTCCTTGATTTTAGCCTGGTGAGACCCTAGGCATGGAACCCAACTGAGCCCACCCAGACTTCTGGCCCACAGAGCTGTGATTTAATAAATTTGTGTTGTTTAAAGCTGCTACGTTTATAGTCATTGGTTATACAACAATAGGAAACTAATCTAGATTTTGCCCCGCCACAATGGAGGTACCTGGTCGCCACCAGGTTCAGGAGTCTGAGGCACCTGGCGTTATACCCTCTGCCCAAAAGCCGCCAGGAACCCCCAGGCAGGCCTGGTCAGAGCTTCTGCTGCCCTTGGTTCTGTCGTTACTCTGCCCATGCGTCCACACCCTGGGGGGTCTGAGGCTGGGCCCTAGCCCAGAACCTCCAGGCCCAGGGCCCCTGCATCTGGAGACTGGCTTAGGCCCTTTTCAGCTTCCTGCCCAGCTTCATGTTTCTGGGACCTCCCATCGCCTCTTTTCCAGGCCAAGAATCGCCCATCCCTGTAGATAGAGCTCAGTTTCTAGATCTGCAGAAGGAACAAGAAACCAAAAAACCTGGAAAATCCGAAACCTAATCTTTGGAGTTGACAGCAGCAGCAGGTAAAGAAGAAACGGGAAGGCGGTCGTCAAAGGTGCAGGCTGGTGGGGCAGGCCAAGTGCAGCCACCCGCACAGGGGCCTTGGCCTGTCTCCCTCCTTTCTTTTCCCCTACGGGAGAACATAGTTGTGATAGGGGACTCAAGAGTAGGGAAATTTTAGTTTAAGGCAAATAGTTATAAGCCTAGTAAGTAATGCATATGTTAAAGCTTTGGTTTCAGATCCTACAGATAAGGCTCATCCTGGCTCCTGGGAGAAACAGCTGACCTCCTAGGGCACTGCTCAAGACCACCGCCTGGGGACAAGTGGGCACCTGGGCCACTGTGTTCCAGGGAGAGACAGACTACCACCTGCCCCTGGGAACAGCTAACTGCCCAGGGCGAGAATACTGCAGTTTTTAAATATAATTTTCCCTGAATTTCAAAATCCCTCACCGCACTTTGTTCTCTGTTATAAAAGTCTGGCCTGGAAAGAAAATGTAAGACAGTCTGTTAGGGTGCGAACCTGCCATCTTCTCAGATTGCTGACCATCTGAATAAAGCGCCTGTAAAAATTCAATCCCTGTCTCTGCTTATTGGGTTTGGTACTGACAGGCAGCCCGAATGCTGGTATCTTTTCCGGTCTCAGTTGTACCAGGTGGTCCCTCCTGGGTTGCTGTGGGCCAGTCCAGGCAGTGTGAGTCTGTGGACTGGGGTAGTGGGGAACTCCGAGCTGCTCTTCCCCGCAGACTGAGGGCCACCCCTCCAGGGTAGAGCTTGGCTGTTCCTGGTGGGTCATCAGGGACCAGGGTGACCAGAACAGAATATGGCTGTGGTGGGCCACCCTGCAAAAGGCTGTGGACACATCTGCAGTGGGACCCAGAGGGCCCCTGCTGGATGATGCTAACCATCTTCCCATTTCTCAGCCTGAGGCCAGCGAGGGATGCCTCCCACTGCATTCAGAAGTTAACAAGCCAGGGGCTGGGAGCCAGGGTTCCTCAGCCTTGGACCTGCTATAATTTGAGTAATGGGTTCCCACTGACAGCCCAGTGCTTCTGAAGCACAACCTGGGAGGAAAGCAGAAGCTGGGCAGGGAAGGGTCAGTGAATGAGAAGAAATAAGCTACTCCTGGTTAGGCTCTTGCCAGACACAGTGCAGATGACGTAAATGCACCATCTCAATGGATTTTCAGCGGAAGCTCTGTGAGATAGGTTTGTTTTCCCACTTGTCAGATAAGAAAACTGAGTCCCAAAGTCATGCAGCTGGTAGATGGTTGACCGTGATTTGAACCCAGGTGGTCTGATTCTAGAGAGAGCTGGGAATGGTGGAAGGTAAATCACCCCTCCACATTTGCTGCCTCCACTTCCTCCTACCCCAATAGTGTGGCCTCCCAGCCCCTCTCGTCTTGGCCCATTCCTGGTGTGGCAGCCTCATGGGGTTGGGCGAGTCACAGCTCTTCTTAGCATGGCAGACTCACCAGCATGGTGCCCTGTACTACAGCATCCTGTCAGCAAGGTCATAGGTGGGGGTGGGGGGGGGTGGTCTGCTTCTGCTTCCTGCCCCTGGCCTCACCATGGCTGCCTAACCTGCCAGGCAACAGGCTGGAGACTGTCCCACCTGGAGTGGCAAGGGCTGTCCTGGGAACTTTCAAGCTCAGGGGATGCTGGGCTCCTGCTCAAGGCAGGCATTTCCTAGTTGCCAACCTGCTCCAGTCTGTGGTGCTGCACCCAGATGGCCTTGTCTCTCCCAGGGGAAGGCATGATGCTCAGGGGGATGGGGTGGGGGCTAAGAGGGCAGCCCCTACTCCAGGCTGACTCCTAGTAAACATCAGCTGGAGCACCAGCTGGGCCAGCCTATCATGGGTGGAGAGGAGGACCCTTCTATCCCCAAACCCCTGGACTCCATCTTTACCTGCCTCATTCTGGGAGGTCTATTGGATGCCCTTCAGAACCTCCTTGGTCCTCACCATCCACACCCACTCTCCCCTCTCCCTCCTCAGCAGCACAGGATCTAAAGCCTCTAACTCTCTGTATGCAAAGATGCTGTTATTAAAAAGGAAACTTCCAGGCTGGCTAAGTGTAACAGAGTACAGCCAGGGCAGGGGCGGGGGGAGCCCAAATAGGGATTTGTAATGGAGTCCAGAACTCAGGGTGTCCAGGAAATATTAGAAAAAAATATATAGGATGTCCTCACCCCGACCCGCCTGAGCTGGGGGATGGGACACATGAAACAGAGCCATTGAGAGCTGTGTTGTATAGCAGCAGATTTGCAGCTAACCTCTGGCATGGTCATTTAACGCATCTATAACCTTTAACTGGTTTTGTGGATACGTTAATTAGCTGTGGCCACGCTTTGAGCCAGGGGGATTGAAGTGACTTCCACCCAAGAGGTAACTGGGAGGCAATGCCCCCTGGTTACAGTGCCTGCATGAGAGCTTGGAGATGACTGGCTCCACACCATGAGGTCACACCTGCTCGGACTTACTGTGGCAGCCCAGTAAAGCTGGACAAATAGGGAATGCTGGCAGGTGTAACTGATTGTGGAAGGAGTCAGAAATGGGGCTGCAGAGGAAGATTGGCTCGGGGATTTAAACCCAGGAGCTGCACCCATGCCAGGTTGGGGTCATGCAGCTTTGGCATGCTCCCTTTTGCCATGTGGCTTAGGAAACAAGAGACTTTGCCTGGAAGTAAAGGGGTGAAAGGACTCTTGCTGGTGGGCCATGAGGTGCCACATGGTTTTGGATTAGCTGGAGAACACGGCAGCGACCCAGCTGATGGTGCCAGGAACCTGAGCCACATAGACCTCTACTTTTCTTGAGATACAGTACCCTGGACTGGGCAGAGGGAGAAGGAAGGACAGTGTGCGTTTGTGGGTATTCTAAAGAACTTTAGTATTTTTAATGAAGGCATCAAGTCATTACTCTAAGTTTATATAACTTTTAAATAAATAATTCCTTTCCTTTTCCTCAGTCTCTGGCATTGAGGGACATCCTTCCCCAGGCAGCAGGCAAGGCAAACCAAGTAAGGGGTGGGGGGTGACCCCCCAGAGCAAAAGGGGAATCCTTTCAATAACAGTATATCGTGACCCCACCCCCCCGGGGTCTGTTCTGTGACACAAGGACTCGCCCCACCAGTTACGTGACCACCATCTCCTGACTCAGAGGACGAAGCCCTCGCAGGGGTCAGCCTGGAGGCGATGTGCTAGCAGGAAGCCACTGCTGCTTTGAGGTACAGTGAGGGAAGAATCACAGAAGGGACTTCAGAAGGCTCCTGAGGAACCAGAGTAAAAGGAAAAAATAACTACAGTTAGTTTAGGAAACATTTATTTAGTAATAACTATTGGGAGAGGCTCTAGACACTTTACAAAAGGTTAATTTCCTATCTTGAAGAGGAGGAAGGTGGGCCTTGGTGATTGAGGTTAACTGCCCAAAGCTGCACAGCCAGCACTGGAACAAGGACTTGTATACTCGCTGGTCTGAGCTGAGAGCCTTTGTAACGAGCCACCAGCTTGAGGAAGCAGCATCTTCAGATTCCGCCCACCCTCAAAAATTCTCAAACTGCAGCCCTAACAACTGCAGAGCTGTTTGACATCCAGGGCCATCCACTGGCTTCTCTCTCTCTCTGGGTGCTACTGTTAAGGGCAGGAAGAGGACCGGGGAGTCTTGGCGGCAGGGCGAATTCTTACACTGAGCCTGCAGAAAGCTAGAAAGATGGACAGGACCCAAGCACACTAAAAGCCAGAAAGATAATTGGACAGGAAAAAAAAAAAAAAAAACCCTCCCCTCCCTATCCCTGTAAGGACTGCCAGCTTGAACAGGAAAAAAAGATGGTCTTTGTGACGGGAGTTCACCATTTTCCCCAGTTGTGGGCACCTGAATAAAACCTCTTTCCTTTTGCACCAGCATCTGCCTCATGAGTTTGGCAACCAAATCTCCGTTTGTTCCGTTGTGACACAGCATGTATTCTCTGACACACACCATCAATGACTCAGGTGAGGACTCTCCTCTTCTGGTAAGTGGTAAAATGAAAGGAAAGCCTTTATCCCTTGGTCTAGCATAGCTGCAACTTGGGGTGACACAGGACAGAGATCAACATGCAAGAAAAAAGGCCTAGGCTATCAATAAGGATGCCCCCACAGAAGGGCGTCTAGTCAGGGTAGTATGTCTATAGGCCCTGCTGGAGCCCAGGTGGATTTATCCAGGGAGGCTGGCAGGTGCCCAAGGCACCTGGGTTCAAGGAGCTCCTTTTCCTACTCCTGGGCAGTGGCGCACCAACTTCTGCCATGCCTGCTGCTTCTCCCGTTATTTTGATGGGCCCATTCCCTGGCCCATTCCCTAACACCAAGAGCAGCTATTCCAGGTCCTTATGCCACAAAGCCTCTCTGAACTGGATGGAGCAAACTTATACCTAAGGCTGGGGCAGGGAAATGGGATCAGTCCTTGCAAATGGTGGCCTGAAGTCCAGGATTTAAAACCTCCTCAAAATGGCCACTAAGGAGCCCTGGAATTATACGTCGGATCCTTGAGACTGGATAGCAAGAAGCTGGGAATACACATGGGCAAGTGAAATAGGGAAACACAAGACAAGAAAATTAAACAAAGCCAAACAGCTGAGCGCATGACCTTCATCTTTCCTAACCAGAAAATACGTAATTTTCCTGGCCTTTAAACCACAGGCCTGGGGCGGGGCGCGGGAGGTGGGGGAATTCTAAAGCAGACAGGTTCCACTGGAACAAAGGAGCCAGCGTTGGAAGAAGCTGCGGATTCAGCTGCCCCTCCCAAATGAAATGCCAACAACGGGCTCCCCTCTAGGAATTTCCCCCTCCCAAACTTCTACGTTTCTCCTATATACTTGCTTCAGAAAGCTCAAGGTAAGGTTGGTGTTAGGGTTTAACCCAGCACCTTCTCAGACTGCTAGCCTCTGATGTTAATAAAAGCAAAATTATAATCCAGTCCTTGTGTCTGCTTTCTGGCTGAGCAGTGACAGCACCGGGACCCCCGGAATGGATTGCTCTTGGTTTTACCCTCAATATGGCAGGCCAAGTCTCACTGAGATGCGAATATCTTGGCTCTAGTGACCAAGAAGCACATCATTCATTCACTTTCCCTGGGGTGTGAGAGTACCCTACGCTGCTAAAGCTTGTGCCCTATATCAACAAAGGAAGGCTGGGCCCGGGCCCGGGCCCTACCCCTCAATGGACGTCGCCTTTATCACTTCCAAGATGGCGCCACCTCCTCCCGCGTCCTCCACGCTCGAACCCATGTCCGCTCGCACCACCTCATCCACCCTGCCAACCGGCCCAGCACCCCACCGCGCCACGACGCCAAAATGGCGACCAGCCATATGACCGGAGCAACTAGCTTTTTGATCACTTAAAATGGCGGCCGCGGGGCGGGTCTTCGGGGGTGGGGCCGCCGGGCGCGGGGCGCACTGGAGGCCAGCGCGCGCGGGCCGCCGGGAAGGGGGCGGAGCGCGGCCGCGCCGGCGCGTCGAGTGGGAGAGGCAGCCGCTGCGATGGTGAGCGGGCTTGGGGGGGAGGGGCGCTGGGCCGGGGGCGGCGGGGGCAGTGGGCCTCGCGGGGGGGCCCGGGCTCCGCGTTCATGCCAGCCCGCTGCCCCCAGGACGTGTTCCTCATGATCCGGCGCCACAAGACCACCATCTTCACGGACGCCAAGGAGTCGAGCACCGTGTTCGAGCTGAAGCGCATCGTCGAGGGCATCCTCAAGCGGCCGCCGGACGAGCAGCGGCTATACAAGGTGCGGCCCCTCCGGTTCCGGGCAGGCAGGGGCCTGGCGAGGGCTGGGGATAGGGATGCGCGCTGCTCGGAACCACCGCCCCGAGCCTGGCCGTGGGCACACGACAGTCTCATCGTTGATGTAAACAGTGGTGGACGCCGGGGTCCAAACTCCCTGGCGTGGGGCCGTTGTTCGGACTTCGGAAGATGAAGCACCGATAGCGCTTGCCACACGAAAGGTCTTGATTAAGGATGACTTTAAAGTCGCGCGCCAGACCTTGTGCTGAGCGCCGAGGGCCAGCATCGCATCTTATCCATGCAGCGGTGCCACCCGTGACATGTTGGCTCTTGACATCCCTGTTGTTATTAAGGAAACTGAGTCCCGGCGAGGTGGCCACTTAACAGCCCAAGGTCATTGGCAGAGCCCAGATTTGATACCGGATACCATTAATCTTGTGCAGGCACATCAGAATCACACTGCATTTTCCCCGGGCTCCCCAGACACTAATACGAAGAAATGAAAGGTCTGGATGAGTCAGATCCCACCAGTTCCTCACACAAGAACTTTTTATTACTCTCCAACCTGGTGGTGTTTTAACTCCCCCACTCCTCTCTTACAGCCAACTGTAGTTATTTAGCAAGGATGGCTTGAGGTTTCGGGTTGTCGTGGGGGCTCAGTGTGTCAGCCCCTGATTGAAGTCTCTGGGAGCATGCCGTCCCTCACCTAAGTGCACTAATCTGATCATGGCTGTAAACTGGGAAAATGGTCTTTTGCTCCAGGCTGAGCCTCCTCTCTCTTGGTCTCTGAAAGCCTTTTCTCCTATCCTGGAGCTTTCTGTAATAAGGACCCTTCCTGCCATCTGTGACAGTTCCACTTATTGTATTATTTCACTCAATGAAACTTCCTGGCTGCCCTGAGTTGGGAATTCTAGTAACTCAATTTTACAGATAAGGAGACTTCACATTAAAAAGATTACTTCATCCAAGGCGGCAGAGCTGGTAATCAAACCGTGTCTGCCTGTGTGGCCAGATTGAGTCACTATCTCTTGAAATTAGGTTCACCTGAAGTTTGGGGAAAAAACATTCCAGAGCCCTACCTTGGGAGGTTCCAATTTGGAAAGTCTTGAGTATAGCCTTGGAAACTGCTTGATAAACATTGGGGTGCTTCAGGCAGTCTTTCTACCCTGTTTGATGTCCACTGTAGTTGCTAATCAGAGAAGTCTGTGGGACTTGACCCTCATGGGGCCTTTCGTGAGACCCTGTCTGCCTCTCTCCTCAGGATGACCAACTTCTGGATGACGGCAAGACACTGGGCGAGTGTGGCTTCACCAGTCAAACAGCTCGGCCACAGGCCCCAGCCACTGTGGGACTGGCCTTCCGGGCAGGTGAGAGGGACAGCTAGGGAGGACAGCACAGGTTAGACAGGGAGCCTGCAGTTGTTCTTCCGAGCCTCCAGGACAGTGTTTTCCCAGTCCACAAACATCAGGCAATATCCTGTGACAGTGGGCTTCCCCACCCACAAAAAAGAGGAGCAAACAAGATAGATAAGAAATTGAAGTGTGTTTCATGGAGGATTCAGAGATCACTATTTGTGATGCCAGCTTACATGTACAGGGAAATTGTTTTTCCTTTTTTTAATCCCATCCCTTCCCACTCCCCTCCCACTTTGGTAACCATCAGCTTGTTCTCTAAATCTGTGGTTGTGTTTTGTTTCATTTATTCATTTGTTTTGCTTTTTTAGTTTCCACATATGTGTGAAATTATAAGGTGTTTGTTTTTCTGTCTGACTCCATGTAGCACAGTACCCACTGGGTCCATCCATGTTGTCACAAACAGCAAAATTTCATTACTCTCACTGAATAATATTCCATTGTGTATGTATATGCCTATATACCATATCTTCTCTTCAACTATTGATGGATATCTAAGTTGTTTCTATATCTTGGCTATTACTAGTAATGCTGTACAGCACATAAGGAGACATATATCTTTACAAATTAGTGTTTTTGTTTTCTTTGGATAAATACCCAAAAGTAGAATTGCTGGGTCATGTAAGAGCTGTATTTTAATTTTTTGAGGAATTTCCATCCAGTTTTCCATGGTAGCTACACTAATTTACAGTCCCACCAACAGTGTATGAGGATTCCCCTTTTTCACTTACCAGCACTTATTTGATGATTATTGATTATTGATTATAGCCATTCTGACAGGTGTGAGGTGATATCCTATTGTAATTTTAATTTGAATGATTAGTGATGAGGGTCTTTTCATGTTTGTTGGCTGTTTGTGTAAGTTCCTTATATATTTTGGATATTAACCCCTTGTCAGATATATTATTGGAAACTATCTTTTCTCTTCCAGTAGGTTGCCTTTTTGTTTTGCTGAGCATATCTTTTGCTGTGCAAAAACTTTTTAGTGTGTGACATAGTTCTGTTCATTTTTTGTTTTCTTGACCAAGGAGACATATCCAGAAAGATATTGCTAACAGCGATTTTAGAATTTACTGCCTATATTTTCTTCTAGGAGTTTTATGGTTTTAGGTCTTACATTTCAGTCTTTTTTTTTTCTTCCTAAAGATTTTATCTATTCATTTTTAGAGAGGGAAGGGAGGGAGAAAGAGAGAGAGAGAAACATCAATGTGCGGTTGCTGGGGGCCGTGGCCTGCAACCCAGGCATGTGCCCTGACTGGGAATCGAACCTGCCACACTTTGGTTTGCAGCCTGTGCTCAATCCACTGACCTATGCCAGGGCCTTTTTTTTTTTAACCAGGAGTGTAGAACCTCCCTTTTACTTTGAGGGGCACAGCCTCATCCCCCAAAGGCAACGAGATCCGCTTGCACCTCTGTTTAAACTGCTGCTACAACAAACAGCAGGTCTCGGGTTTAGGTGCTTGCATTTCGGTCTTTAATCAATCCATTTTGAGCTTATTTTTGTGTATGATGTAAGAAAGTGGTCGAATTTCTTTTTTTTTTGCATGTGTCTATCCAGTTTTCCCAACACCACTTATTGAAGAGACTGTCTTTACCACTTTGTATATCCTAGCCTCCTTTGTTGTAGATTAATTGACCGTGTAAGAGGATTTATTTCTGGGCTCTCTATTCCATTGATCTATATATTTGTTTTGATTATTGTAACTTTGTAGTATAGTTTGACATCAGGGAGTATGATACCTCCCATTTTTATCTTCAGATTTCTTTGGCTATTTTAGGCCTTTTGTGGTTCCATGTAAATTTGAGAATTCTAATTATGAGAAGAATGCCATTGGTATTTTAATAGGGATTGCATCGAATTTGTATATTGCTTTAGGTAGTAAGGACTTTTAAGATTTTATTTATTTTTAGAGAGGGAAAGGGAGGGAGAAAGAGAGGAAGAGAAACATCAATGTGTGGTTGCTTTTCATGTACCTCCAACTAGGGACCTGGCCTGCAGCCCAGATACGTCCCCTGACTGGGAATCGAACCTGCAACCCTTTGGTTTGCAGACTAGCGCTCAATCCACTGAGCCACACCAGCCAGGGTGGTAGTAAGGACATTTAATATTTATCCTTCCAACCCATGAGCAAGTTGTATCCTTCCATTAATTTGTATCTTCAGTTTTTTCAATGTCTTAATAGTTTTCACAGAACAGGTCTTCCACATTTTTGGTTAAATTTATTCCAGGTATTTTATGTTTTTTATGTAATTGTAAATGGGATTGTTTTCTTAATTTCTCTTTCTAATTGTTTGTTATTGGTATATAGAAATGTTACATTTCAGTATATCGATTTTCTGTCTTGTGCAACTTTACTGAATTCATTTGTGCTTGGGGAGGGTGGTGTATGTGTTAAGTCTTTAGGGTTTTTTTGTATATGGTATTATGTCATCTGCAAATAGTGGGAATTTTACTTCTTCCTTTCTGGTTTTGATGCCTTTTATTTCTTTTTCTTGTGTCATTGCTGTGGCTAGGATTTCTAACACTATGTTGACATTCTTGTCTTCTTCCTGGTTTTCTGCTTGTTAACCTAAAAATAAAAAAGCCTTTCAGAGTGAGAGGCAACAAGCATTTATTTGAGGTCAAAAAAAGAATAGCTATTTGGGAAATTCTGATTCATGCAGAAGCCCAGATTGATTAGGAGACAAAGGTAGTGGTTATTTATGGGAGAGGGAAGGGGAACAATTACATCAATAGAAGGGAGGCATTTCTATTGGTGTAAATAATATAGCAATGTTAATCTAAACAGTGTTTTTTAAAATTTTCAGTCCAGTGGTCTTCAGTGGTTATATTAACTGCTTTTTTGTTATATTTTAAAACATTCCTTTGGGGCACAATGTTGCTTTGGGCCCAGTCCAAAGGTTATTTTCCCTTAGTGTTCCAAAGATTTGAAGCATAAAACATACAAGGCAGCTCCTCAGGCATGGAAGCTCTTGCCCCATCTTACAGCACCTCCATTTATTTTAATTTTAATTTTTGACAAGCTTTCACCATTAAGTATATCTGTGGGTTCGTCATATGTAGCCTTTATTATGTTGAGATATGTTCCTTCTGTACTCACTTTATTGAGAGTTTCTGTCATGAAAGGATTTCAATTTCATGCTTTTTCTGCATCTGTTGTCATCATGTGGTTTTTATTTTTTATTTTGTTAATGTGATGTGTCATGTTGATTGGTTTACAAAAATGGTGAACTGTTTTTGCATCCCTGACATGAATTCTGCTTGGTCATGGTGTATAATCCTTTCATTGCATTGTTGAATGTGGTTTGCTAATATTTTGTTGAGAATTTTTACATCTGTGTTCATCAGGGGTATTGCCTGGATTTTTTTGTTTCGTGTGTGTGTGTGTGTTTTAACTTTTTTATGTCTTTGTCTGGTTTCGGTATCAGGGTAAGGCTGAATGAGTGTGGAAGCATTCCTCTTCAATTTAAAAAATATATATATTTTTATTTATTTACTTTTAGAGATGGGGAGGGAGGGAGAGAGAGAGAAGCATCAATGTGTGGTTGCCTCTTGTGTGTCCCCTACTGGGGACCTGGCCTGCAACCCAGGCATGTTCCCTAGAGTGGGAATCCAACTAGTGACCTTTTGGACACACCAGCCAGGGCCCTCTTCAATTTTTTGAAATGGTAAGGAGGATAGGTTTAATTTGAATGTTTGGTAGAATTTACCTGTGAAACTGCCTGGTCCTGTTCTTTTTCTTCATCTGTGGAATAAAATTTGTGTATTTGGGATTTTTCGTTTCTTGAGGTAAGCTTGTATTGCTGTGGACTTCCCTCTTAGAATTGCTTTTGCTGTGTCCCATAAACTTTGAAAAGTTGTGTTTTCATTATCATCTGTTTCAAAACACTTTGATTTCCTGTTTCTCTCTCTCTCTCTCTTTTTTTTTTTTAGTGGCATGTTCTTTAGTCTCCATGTTTGTGTGGTTTTATTTTCCAGCTTACTTCCTGTAGTTGATTTTTAGTTTCATGCCATTGTGGTCTAAAAGGATGCTTGGTGTGATTGCAGTGTTCTTGAATTTATTGAAGCTTGTTTTGTGGCATAGCGTATCCTGGAGATTGTCCATGTGCACTTAGGGAAAAAATGTATATTCTGCAGTTTTGGGATGAAATGCTCTAATGTTTGTTAATTCAATCTGACATATAAGTCCATTATTTTCTTACTAGTTTTGTCTAGATGATCTATCCATACAAGTGGAGTATTAAAATCCCCTATTATTGTATATATATCAGCCTTATATCCATTAATAATTTCTTTATATATTTAGGTGCTATTATGTTGGGTGTATAGATATTTACATTTATTATATCTTATTGGGATTGACCCCTTGGCAATTATGTAATGTTCTTCCTCACCTTTTTTTTGCATTTTTTGTTTTAGAGTCTATTTTGTCTGAAATTGCTACCTCAGCTTTCTCTTTATTTCCATTTGTGTGGGATGTCTTTTTCTGTCCCTTTGCTTTCAGTCTGTATGTGTCTTGATTTGAAATGAATTTCTTGTAAGCAGCATATGGTTGGGTCATGTGTGTTTGTTTGTTTTTTTTTTTAATTCATTTAACCACCCTATGTCTTTTTATTGGAGCATTTAATCCATTTCCATTTATAGTAATTATTGATAATATGTACTTAGTGCCATTTTGTTTATTGTCTGTTGGTTGTTTTTATAGTTAGTTCTTCTCTGTTCCTTCTCTGGATCCCTTCCCTCGTGGTTTGCTGGCATCCCTATGATTCGGATGTTGGCACTTTTAGAGCTGTCCCAGAGTCTTCTTATTCTCTCCTCATGTTTTTTAATTCTTCTTTCTTCATTCTGTACTGTTTGACTGTTTATTTCTTCCTTATGTTCCAAATCCTTGATCTCCAGGTTCCTTCCCTTCACTTTTGGTTCTCTGTGGATTTTTCTTGATTTTACTTAGTGTAGCTTTCATTTCTTCCCTTATGTGTTTGCTGTACTTAGTGAGTTCTCTGAGCATCTTTATCACTAGTGTTTCAAACTCTACATATGATAGGTAGCTATCTTCATTTCACATAGTTCTTTTTCTGGAGTTTTGATCTGTTCTTTCATTTGGGCCATATTTCTTTACCTCCTCAATTTGGTGGCCTCCCTGTGCTTGTTTCTGTGTATTAGGCAGAGCTGCTTTGACTCCCTGTCTTGGCACACCTGGATGGAGCCTTAGATATTCACCAGGATGGGGCAACCCACTTTACTGCTTTGTGGAGCTATATGTGGGGCAGGGGTTGAAGAGGAAACAATGCTGCTTGCTTGACACTCCTGTTTCCAGTGACTTCACCTACTTCCTCTGTGTGACTGGCACCCCTCTAGCTGTTGCCCTGGTGGTGGTTCTTGGAGTAGGTGGGTTTGCATACGTTCTAGGACCGTGGAGGCCCTTTAAATGGACTCTCCTGAGAGACCAGCAGTTTATTTTGCTGCCCCAACCCCCACTGGTTTTTACATGTAGAAGTTTATGAGGCTTTATTCCTGGCACTGGAAGCCTGGGCTGCTTGGTCTGGCCTGGGGCTGGGATTGCTCGCTCCCCAGGTACCCCTCCCAGTCTTATCTGCCACAGGTGAATGTGGGACCACACATTGCATGGGCTGCTGCCGCCACCACCACTGCCTTGCCACCTTGCCACCTTCACGCTGTGTCCTCTCCACATTGGCTTCCTGGCTTTGCCCCTCCTACCCATCTGAATGAATATTTCTTCTTTAAATCCTTAGTTGTTGGATTTCCATACAGTTTGATTTTCTGGCAGTTCTGGTTGTTTTTGTTGTAAAGTTAGTTGTGATCCTTCTTATGGGTATGCAAGGAGGTGAAGTGTGTGAACCCGTGCCTCCATCTTAGCCAGAAGTCAGTTTACTGGTTTTGTTTGGGTTCCTTTCTCTTTGTTCTTTTTATATTTTTTGTAGGTCTTTGGTTGCCATAAGGCCTGTGTATATCATTCTGAATCATCTATAGCAGTCTATTTTAAGCTGATAGGTGTTTAGGTTTGAATATATTTAATAAGGACTATATTTTTACTCCTCCCTCTACACTGTATGTGATTGATATCATGTTTTAGATCTTTTTGTGTTGTATATCCTCTAACTACTTGTAGTATTGTAGTTTGAGTTGAGTTTGATATTCTTTTCTTTTAATTTTCATAATAGCTTTTTATACATGTGATTTACTATATTAAATATTTAGCTTTACCTGTAAAATTTTTTCCTCATTTTGTTATTTCTGGTTATGTACTTTTTGCTTAAAGAGACCTTTTAATATTTCTTATAACAGTGGTTTAGTGGTGATGAACCTCTTTAGTTTTTTTTCTTCTCTGGTAAACTCTTGATCTCTGCCTCAATTCTGAATGATAACCTTGCTGGGTAAATTATTCTAGGTTGCAGTTGCCTTTCTTTTTGCACTTTAAAAATGGCCTGCCACTTCCTCTAG